GAACCGGATCAAAGCGGCGCCTCGGAGGCTCGCCCGGAAAGCAAGACGCGCCAGGCGGAAATTGGCGGGAGGCGGCGGGGGAGGTGAGTTTGAGCATGTCTTTGGCGGAGGGGACGGCGGCGGATCTTTTGGCGGTGGGGACGGCGGCGGATCTTTTGGCGGTGGGAACAGCTGGGGCGGCAGCGGTGGCGGAGGGGGTGGAGGCATGGGGTGGAATTTCAACGGATTTGGCGGGTCGAATTGGGGGGAGGAACCCTCATTCAATTCCTCCTCCGATCCGGCATTTGATTTCGTCTACAAGGTGTTGAGTTGGATAATGTTCTCCAATTGCTTGCATTTCGCCTTCACGAAGGTGATCAAAACCGTTGTGACCGATGGTGATCCGGCGAGGGAGAAGGTTCCGGTGACACTAACGGATGTCTGCTGAACCGGTAAATCCTCCACTCCATCGGATTATTACGGGTATCTCCTTCATTATGCATTTCAATGTAAATAATGTACATATATTCTTCTCAGTTCTATGCAATTCGGATTGGCTAATCAATTTGGGATAATTTAAATGCAAAAGTTTATGAATCAAAACATGCATGTTTTACAAAGTTGGGGCTTTAGGTAACTTTTGATTTTTTGTTGTTGAAGAAGTTAGAGCGAGCAACATTTTGGAATTTGGATAGAGCTGCACATTTTATCAATCAGTTTTTGTACAGAGAAACACAAAGTTTGTTTAATCTAGGCAAATGTTTTATGCTATGTTTTCTTTAAAGGGTTTCTTTTTATCTTTAAATTCCCCTCACACCAAACAAGTATGGGTGTATCTAATCAATACAAATATAGCCAATTTTGGGGGGTGTGAAGAACTTAGGGCCTGGTGAGCGCACTGGGATTGATATGATATTGATTCTGAAATGTAGAAGAAATGATATGTGTTTTGAATTTCGGGATAACAATGGGTGGCCGCTGACGACGGTTGGTGGTCAGTGACGGTTGAGGGAGATGTCAAAATTCCTAGATTGATGTCTGCCAAATTTGAGAGACATAAAAAACGCCGCATACTTCGTGCGCTCATAGACGATTCCTTGGGGGTGTCAACGAGACGAGTTTGACACTGTGAAACCAAGTTCGGCTTGATTCAGTTACACTGAGTTAGTGGGGGTATTTTTTCGTGTTTGAGCTTGAATCTCGTCGAGCTCAAAATATGAAGCACGAGCTTGACTTGACACGTGTTCGTTGCCGTATTTGATTGCTCAAACGTCCAGTCCGGATGTTTGAGTTTAGAATAGAAAAGATCTATTCGAGTGCTTAATCATTTTTCAAATGTTTGAATTTAGACTTGTAGACCATTTTTTTGTACATTAAAAAAGAGTTATTTGAGTGCTCAATCACTGTTCAGATATTTGAGTTTAAAATTTTAGGCCTTACTTCTTTCGTCTGATAAAATAAGGTCCATTCGAGTGCTTGGTTGCTTTTCAGATGTTTCAATTAGAATTTTAGATTTTTTTGTTGAATAGAAAAGATCTATTCGAGCGTTCAATCATTTTTCAGATGTTTAAAATTGTAGACCATTTTTTGCACATTAGTTGTTTTTCAAATGTATTTGTTTAGAATTTTCAAAAAAGAAGGTATTTTAAAATACATTCTTTTGAATTTAGATTTGTAGACCAATTTTTTTGTACATTAAAAAAGATTTATTCGAGTGCTCAATCATTATTCAGATATTTGAGTTTAAAATTTTAGACCTTACTTTTTTCGTCTGATAAAACAAGGTCCATTCGAGTGTTTGGTTGCTTTTCAGATGTTTCAATTTAGAATTTTAGATTTTTTTTTGTAGAATAGAAAAGATCTATTGAGTATTCAATCATTTTTCAAATGTTTAAATTTAAAATTGTAGACCATTTTTTGTACATTAGTTGCTTTCAGATGTATTTGTTTAAAATTTTCAAAAAGAAGGTATTTTAAAATACCTATCTGAAAAATTTTAGGCCTTATTTTTTTTCGTCTGATAAAACAAGGTCCATTCGAGTGCTTGGTTGCTTTTCAGATGTTTCAGTTTAGAATTATAGATTTTTTTGTAGAATTGAAAAGATTTATTCGAGTGTTCAATCATTTTTCAGATGTTTAAAATTTAAAATTGTAGACAATTTTTTGCACCTTAGTTGCTTTTCAGATGTATTTGTTTAAAATTTTCAAAAAGAAGGTATTTTAAAATACCTCAAATTCTCCCCTCTTCTCCCCCCTCATACCAAGCTTTGAACTCTTGACCTAGTGATTTGAAAAATCTCTATCAAACCAACTAAGCCAAAGAGGAGCTGGTGTTCAAATTGCGCTTGGTTTAATTCTATTCTTATATTCCAATGATATCATGGAAAAATAAAAATTTGAAATAATTTATGAACTTTAGTCTCAAGTATAACAACAACAACAATAATAATAATAATAATAATTACAATAACAATAAATACATGAAAAATGTATTATTTTTAGAGTCATTATTTGGGAGTAAAAAAAAGTTGAAGAAAATGGGAATAGTCGAAAAACTAGAAAAAAATGGGAGAAACTAAAAACAATTAGAAGAAATTAAAAGTTAAAAATTTAAATTCTAAATAATAGGCTCTAAAAAATGAAGGTATTGTAGACCACAAAGGAGCTGGTGTTCATTTCGCGCTTGGTTGGTTTCTATTTTCTTATTCCAATGATTTGATCGGAGCTACTCCCTGCGTCCGAGAATGATCTTCTCATTTGACTTTTCATGGTCAAAGTTTGTAAACTTTGACTATGATATGTGGAAAAAAATACATTGTATTATGATATAAATTTAATATCAATATATTTATATTGAAACGTAGTTTTGAAATATCAAATTATTATAAAATATATCTATCTACAAATATAGATATTAATGGTCAAAGTGCAATATTGAACACCGTAAAAACTCAAATGGGAAGAATATTTCCGGACGGAGGGAGTAATTTTTTAATCGGAAATAATCATCCATCAAAAGGAAATTTCTATTTGAAAAATACTTTCTCCATCCCTAAATAATTCACACATTTCACTATTCAAAAATTACAGAATTTTTTTTTATTTGTATGTTTTAATTGACTATATGATGAAATAAAATATTCTTGTTAGCTCTCATTTTGTAAAACTTTTAATGTATTTTTCAAATATGTAAATGTTTATATATATATATATATATATATATATATATATATATATATATTCCAATCTTCAAATAAAAGAATTAAAAAAACGTGAGATTTTACTTTATTTTGTGTAAAATGTAAACCATTTAGAGAGGAAGGGAGTGAAAAATATGTTAAACTAGTATTCTAACTCATGCCACACACAGGGTCAAAGAAATTCTTTATTGATTTTTTGAATTATCTTCAATGTAATAGTTTTAAATGAGTACGGAAATATATGTAATGCGTTCTTTAACACTGTAGACATTAAAATCAAAGCAAAACAAATAATTTTGCATTTAGTAATTGATTATAAAAATCTTATATATAAATTCAAAAGTAAACACCTCAAAGTCTTTTTAAAATTCTTATTTTTTTAAAAAGCATTCAGAGAATATTACATTTTGGTGTGGTTTCAAGAATTTTCATTATTATTTAGAACTAATATTTTTAACCCAATTTTAGTTTTTCACTTGTGAAACAATGAAATAAAGTTAACTAAGAGTGAACTTCAACCCAGTTAAAAATAAATCAACAAATGAAAATATTTGACATTGACTTTTATCCATAGTCATAACAAAACGTAAAGCGTTAATCGTCATATTTCTTCCTCTGGTTTTCATTCATTGTAGATATATATTATTTCCTATGTCCTAAAACTATCTTCCTTCTTCTTCATTTTTAATGTCCTATAACTATCTTCCCACATCCCAAAAAAGAGTGTAAAATGACTATCCTACCCTTACAACATCTACTCTCCAACCTTCCCACTATATCAACATTCTTTCTCCATCCTGTCTTCGTCTCTCTTTCAATTCACCTCCTCAAAACCTAGAACAAAATATAGATCAGAAATGCATCCATCCTCGTTCTTGAGATCGTCTCATCATCACCATCTCCCCCTCCACACTCAGGCATCCCAACATCTCCACTCGGCATCTAGGGATTGGGGTTGCAAGAAGGACGCTGGTAGGAGTAGTAAAGTCGCTGGAATGTGATTCAAAGTCTAAATATCTTCACGGAATTGGAGATGATGATGAGCTTCATTAGCCGCTACCTTTAATCAGAAATTGGCCTAAGTATGTTTTTTCTATAGCCGTCTAAAGTTTTTTCAATTGTTTTTTCAATCAGAATTCAGTCATTTTCGATTGGTTATTCAATCCATTACTCATCAATTGTTTTCTTATTGATCAGGCCAGACATGTTAATTGTGCTTCATTAGTAGCTGTGCTTTTCGATCAGGCCAGACATGTTAATTGTGCGTATGTCATTTATCGCCGCTGAGCAGGCCGCTCAGCCACCATTTACACTGCCCAATTACTACAAAAGACAGAAAAGGGGGTTCAGTCAATATGGGAAGTTGGATTTTGGACGGATGGAGTATTTAAGGTCATATGATAACTTTTATTTGTCATTGTTCAACTTCTCTACCAAGATATTATTTTAAAATATATTAAGTGGGTTGTCATCACTGAATGACATATCACTAAACTCCTATAAGGATCATCTATTTGAATTAAGTAACTTTTCAATCTCAATCATATATAAAGTTTTTAGATCTTCTGAAAAAATAATAAGTTTTACAACGCTGAGTTTCGAACCCGTGACCTCTTAGTCAACAAGGCTCCGATACCATGTCAATGAACCAACTCAACCAAAAGCTCAAGCTTATGGTTGTGGCCTAGGAACAGTAATTTATATTCTAATACGCCCCCTCACGTGCCGGCGTAGTTTTTTTCGAGCCTTGCACGTGAAACCTTAATTTTTTAAAACTGGGTAGTGCTGAGTTTCAAACTTGTGATCTCTTAGTCAACGAGGCTCCAATACCATGTCAAGGAACCAATTCAATCAAAAGCTCAAGCTTGTGATTGTGGCCCAGGAAGAGTTATTTATATTCTAACACAAGGCTCAAAGAGGTCACGCCTGCACGTGAGGGGGCGTGTTGGAGTATATAACACTCATTCCTGGGCCACAATCACAAGCTTGAGGTTTTGATTGAATTAGTTCCTTGACATGGTATCAAAGCTTTGATGACTAAGAGGTCAAGAGTTCGAAACTCACCGCCACCCAGATTAAAAAAATTAAGGTTTCACGTGCAAGGTTCAAAAAGGTCACGTCTACACGTGAGGGGGCGTGTTAGAGTATATAACAATAATTCCTGGGCCACAACCATAAGCTTGAGCTTTTGGTTGAATTGATTCCTTGACATGGTATCGGAGCCTTGATGACCAAGATGTCACGAGTTCGAAACTCACCGCCACTCAGGTTAAAAAAAATTAAGATTTCACGTGCAAGACTCAAAGAAGTCATGCCTGCACGCGGGGAGGGGGGGGGGCGTGTTAGAGTATATTACAATCATTCCTGGGCCACAACCACAAGCTTGAGCTTTTAGTTGAATCGATTCCTTGACATATATCATACAAAATACATTTCATATTGATCTCTATATAAATAATAAAAATTACTCCCTCCGTCCCTCATAGATCTTCCCATTAGCCCTTTTTATTTATCCCACAAAGATCTTCTCATTACCTTTTTTAACATTTAAAATACCTCAACTACCCCCACTTACTTTATTTATTACACCTTTTCCACCTTATTTAATACACCTCACCCATTTTCATTAAGGGTATTTTGGTAAACTTTCACCTTTTTTCAACTCTCCTTAAAAACCGCAAAAAGTCAAAACGAGAAGATCTTAGGGGGGCGGAGGGAGTACCTTTTTATAGAAAGACCTTGATCTTGCAATTACCTCGATCAAATAAAGTCTCATATTAACCAAGAGCTCCCATAATTATTCCCACACAACTTAAGAACGACTCATGATATTTGTCACTAATAATGTAACTAACAACTTTCTTAGCTGACCCTGAGATCCTAGCTCAGTAGTATATTTTATATCTTCAATAAATTCTTTACCATTGGTTAATAATTCCTATGCTTCACACGCATTGTCGAATGAGCTTTGTTCGTATAATATTATTGGTAACTGCTTTCAAGTTCTTATAGCTTGTACATCCCCATTAGACCCATAATAGTATTTTCAAGTAGTATAATTTTTCTATTCCTATTAGTAAACATTGCACGAGGCCTATCAATGGTCTTTCTTGCCTTAGAAACTACAAAGAAATTATAGCCACCAATATTTTATTTGATTTAGTTATTACAAAATTTTAAAACATGCGTGCATTAATTAGGATACTATATAAAAACAAAGCATGCGTAAAAAACCTAAATAAACAATTTTAGAGTTTAATTACATATAATTTCTAGAAAACCTCTAAAAGATATTTTTGATTGTGATGGATGTACGTTGAATTCCTAAAATAAAATAATAATTGTAAAAATATTCACCTTTTTATGTGCTTTTTGGTTTCAATATTCTAATTAAATTCAAGGGTAATGTTATTTTGGTTTCAAATTTTATGAATAATATTTACATTGGTTTGTATATTTTAAAGTTGTTTTATATTATTAGTTTATGTTAATTATTTATGGAAAAAACTTATACAAAAGCATGTAAATGCTTAATATATCCATGCTAAAAGTTAATACATTAAACAGGGGAAAGTTACAAATTAAAAAATAGTACTTCTTTATTATATAACGCATGCCTTATAGTTATCACTTTTCCATCACAGTCCAATGTATACTCTTACATCACACAGTCATTATACTAATATTTTGGCATTAATAGACTTAAGACTCATATTTTGGTATTTTAATAATTTTTTACTTCTATCTAGGGAGATTTCTTAAAATATAATTCTTAATCCAAAAATAGAAAGTATTCTTACCCCCTATATGCATATATGGTACACATTTTGGAATGTCTGAATAATTTGAATAACATTATTGATTATTTATCAATAATCATTTATTATTGTAAAATATACTCCCTCCGTCCCAAAAAGAATGAGACAATTTGACTTTTTGGGAAATTAAGGGAGGGATATTTTGATATTGACTTTCCAAAAATACCCTTGATGTGATGGGTAAAAGTAGGATGTGATGGGTAGATTATTAGAAAAAAGGTATGATGTGATAGGTAGGGTATGAAAAAGTAAGGGGTAAAAGTGATTTTTTAATAGAAATGTAACGGACTTTACGAGACGCAGTTTTTTCTAAAGGTAACAAACTTTTTGGGACGGAGGGAGTACATATTTTTCTATAATAGGGAGTAGTTTGTTAAAATAAAATAAATAATTCACTCGTTTTATAAAACTGTTAATGTACTCCCTAATTTTTAAATACACACGTATATTTTTTTAAACTTCACATCAATTTAAATGAATTAAATTGAAACTAATTTAAACCAAATATCATAAACCGAAAAGGGAAAGATTAAAAGGGTGTGAATTTTATTCCGAATAAGTTTTGACTAATGCATTTTTAAGAGAAATTAAAGGTCAAAACTTATTAGCACAAATCTTGCCATATTTCTCTTTCTCGTGTAGTTTTCTTTTGTTCAAACACATTCAAACTAGTCTAATGTTTTCAAGAAAGAAAATGACATAAAAGCTACAAAGAGAACAAACTTACAGTCACAATATGGTGCATCTGTTTATGCCGAGAGATTCGAAGATCCTTCTGAACTTGGACACGAAACCCACGCGAGGCGGAAGTGGGTCCCTCTGGTCAATGCAATCTTCAGTCGCAAGCAAGCGGCGTCTGGTTTCGTCGCCGGATTTGTGACTCTCAGTAGCCACCACATCTCCGCCACCGGCAATTTCCCCAGGCTTCTTGTCGAACAACCCTTTAAACTGCTGACGAGCTCTCTTCTCTACTTCCTGCTCATAATATATTTGTGTTTATGCATAGGGCCCCCAACATTTGGGGGTTACCATGACCCCAAACTTTGCACAAATACGGACAGAAAGTTAATAATTGTCTATGCAAAGCTTAGGGTCATGATAACCCATAAGTATTGGGGTAGCCCTAGCTTTTTGGTTCAACGGGATATCTCTGGGAAACAGATTCTCTACATTCAAATAGGGGTAGGGTCCGTGTACACTCACACTCGAGACCCTACTTTTTGTGGGATCCTACTGGGTTTGTTGTTGTTGGTTCAGTGGGGTATCAGTATCCGGTACGGTTATCTCATTTCTATACCACTTGTTTGGTTATGTAAATGGAATCCCCAAATCCCATTGTATAAACCCCTCACTATTCACTTGTCCCCCCCCGCCCCAGGTGTGAAGTTGATTCCCTCATTGATTCTTAGACCTCATGTATCATATGTAAATGAACCAATTGAACCGGAAGCTCGGGGTTGTAGACCCTGAAAAGGTTTTATATTCTAACACGCCCCCTCACGGGTATGCGACATTTGTTTTTGCTTGAGTCTTGCACGTGAACATTAAAACTGGATGGCAGTAAAGTTCAAACTAATGACCTTTCTAACTCTCTAAGACTCTAAAACCATGTCAAGGAACAACCTCGAGCGCTATAAACCTCATTTTGAATTCTAAAGCCATGACCCGAACGGGTCCTTGAGAGTAGCCGTATAGTAGTAATAAAAGAGAAGATAAAAGCATTGCAGACATTAATGTAACTTGCCTGCTCTTCCTTTTTAAGTTTTGCCAGAGCTGCCTTTACGGTTGACTCGACTGACTTGTCAATGCTTATCATCTAGAAAGGATTCATGGGAAATTCAATTTAAGACATTGTAAAGGATCAACTTCATGTTTTGCTCTCATAAAAACTACTCCGTAGAATATACCTTGTTAAAGTCATCCCTTGCTTCTTGAAAATCTCCAGCTTCCATGTGAGCCATTCCCCGTCTATAAAATGCTTTGACGTGTACAGGATTTGCATCTAACACCTGAGTCCGAAACATCAATCGATATTTCTATGGGAGAGAGAGAGAGAGAGAGAGAGAGAGAGAATACCTTGTTACATGTCTCTATGGACTTTTTGTGCTCTCCCAACTTCAGATAGCAGGCAGCAACATTAAGATGCAACAAGTTCTATGAACAGAAACAGCACATCACAGACAAAATAATGAGTTCAGAAAAAAAAGCATAAATTGTGACAAGCAAATACACTATGTTTGGTTCAAGGAATTAAGGAGGAAAGGAAAATATAGATGTTTATCTTGTTCTCCTCGCCAAAATAGAAGTAAATTTGGTTTCCCTCTTTACTTTTTTTCTATGATTTTCTTTTCCTTCTACTTAATTCCATCCCCCTGTGGAGCCGAAGATTCACTACTTTGGCTTTGGGATATGATGGAATAAAGCAAATTGGCTCTCTAAACTGTCTGCACTTCTTGCAATTGTGCAGTAGCAGTTGGTCAATGCAACTTTCGATGCTCATCATGGGTCATCTGGAAACAGCCGCTCTATGTTTTAAACATAGGGGCGGACTGCGTACATCCGACCCCCCCTTACCCCGCAATGGGCGGGAGCCGTTGAGGCACTGGGGTAATGTTGTTGTTTTTTCCTTCCTCTTTTCTTTTCCTCTCTAACCAAACTTTTCCATATCATATTCTTTTCTTTTCCCTTTCAAGTTCTTTGAACCAAACATAGTGATGGGGGCATTGCAGCACCAGGAAATTACAGTTAATAGTAACCTTTATTCTTTATTAACTAGCTAATAGATATGTGTACAAACCAAGGAAATTTTTGAAATATTACTGTTAAATGATATACCCTGGTTTCTGAGAATTCCTTTCCCTCTTCATCGTCTTGAGGATGAACGTGATTAAATTCGCGAAGAACCTTTAAAAAATGTAAAAAAAACAAAATCCAACACAAAATGGAATTTCAACTGGCAGGTTGTGAACAAAAGTATTTGCAACTCATCAGATACCAACAAACATAGAAATTACTCAAATTAGAGTACATGCCTTATCATACTTTGCCTTTGCAAGCTCAAACTTCCCTTCACCAAAAAGCCTGTTTCCCTATAAAAGAAATGATAATGGATGAGTGTTTTTTTATTATTATTGTTGCGGGGAACTAATCGAACCATCACAGTTGCCATTCTTGCCAATACGACCCAATAAGACAAAAGTTGAGAGCTCAACATGTTGTGGCATGTGATTCCCCAAACATTCTTCAGTCACACACACACACACATACCGTGCCTCTGATCTTCTTAACATCATCCATTATTTCCCTAAAACCAAGGCCAGTCCAGTCCTGTAATAATTATTGTAATTGGCATGAACTAGAAATGCCATTAGACTGCGCTAATCAAACAGAATAAAGAATTTTAGCCCCTTGTTTTGTTCAAAAGAGGGGAGGGGTGGAAAATGGAGGTTGATAAAACATTATGTTCAAAGAGGGAGTGGCAGGGAAGTAACTAGAATTTTAGAAAAATATGTATTAAATAAATTGAATTTGATAAATGTTATGGAGTATATTGCAATTTAAAATAGAATAAATTCTATAAATGGTCCCTTATAACAGGGTGTTTTCTATAAATAGTCTCCAATTCTACGAAATTACATTTGTGGTCCTTAATATTTTGACCCAAATATTTTTTCTTGCATATAGTCCTCAAAGGGTTGATTATGGAATAGTTCTCAAATATCGAGGAGCACGAATGTAATTTCTTAGAATTGAGAACTATTTATGGAAAACACCTTGTTATAACTTACAAAGGACCATTTATACAATTTACTCTTGAAAGTATTATACTCCGTAATATATAACAATTTTGATATATAAATGAGAGGAAATTGTGGTTCCCTTGGCGCCTAATTAGATGTTAAGTGTCAGTTTCATTACCTTTGGTGTGTTAAAATCTAGAAGCTCAATCTCCCATTGGACATGGGCACCTTCAGGAACATTAGCAGGCCTAATTACATATTTTAGAAAAAATCCAATAAGCTCTCAGTACAAATTTTAAAAACATAAAGTTGTCAAATAATATGATGCTCAAACAACCTTTTGAATTTATCATAAGCATAATCAGGAGGGCATGTGACAAGAGCTATCTCCCCAGGCACCATTAGACGGACACACATTTCGAATCCTTCAGGAACCTGATACAAAAAAGCAATTTCTGAATCATTTAGGAGAAGGTTTTGTATATAATAGAAAATCAAAACAAACTGCACACACGATGAGAAGCTCAGAGATTTTAGGATCCCAACGGACTTACAAGCCCCTCTCCAGAACTGAATTCCAGAGGCTGACCATTGTTGTCAAGCTTAGTATCATAGAAGACCGTTTTCTCATCATTGAGAAGCATACCCTTGTAGTGGACGCGCAAAAAACTGTCCTGGAGAGGGCAGTCCATAGGAAACTCACCTAATAATGAGAACCAAATCACTAATATATTAACACCTGGCTTATTGTTGAGATCAATAGAGTAATAAAAAGAATCACATAAACATGATCCGATTATCCGAATAAGAAGTATAGGGTGCAAAATAAAAAATCATAAAAAGAATTGGCTCGGTTTCAAGGGACACCTCTTCCATCACGAATACGGCGTTTGATTAGGCGTCCATCTCCAAGCACATCCCGTACCTGCACCCAATCCAAGCCAACTAAGATTAGTCNGGGGGTTAGAAAGAGATAATGGTTTGTACTCCCTCCTCCTACAATGGAAGATACATCTGTAATCCCTACGCCCACAATGGAAGATACATATGGGTTTGGGGCTCTTCTAAGAAAATAAAAGTGATGTTAATTACTCTATACTTTACAAGTTTTCTCATTTGAAAGAGGAAAAGAAAAGTGATGTCCGTCAAGTAAGAGTTGAAATGACAGATGAAAGGATAAGTTGCAGAAAGTACACATTGTTGTTTAATTTAAGAGACTGAGCATTATCTTGGGTAAGACAGAAAAACGAAGTATATCTTGTAAAAAAAGGGACAAAATTAGAAATTGGATAAATATGGCAACCAAATCAGAAATTGGATAACTACGGCGAGCAGAAGGCACCAAATCATTTAGGCCATTTGATGTTCAGAAATTGGATACAACTATGGCAACCAAGAATTCTACTTTCTCAATTTAAGAGTTGAAGAGATTATTATATTAGCATTAGCCTAGTTAGGAGACTGCTACAAAATTGAACTTGAAATAGCCATTTTAAATTACTCGTATGATATAGGAAGTACCAACCTGAATGAAGTGGACAAGCTCAACTTCAAAAATAATTTCCTCGAAGCCTTCTGTTGTAGGTATAAGAGGAGATTGATTCAAGTATTGATGTGTAACATAAACCACTGCTTTCTCTCCCAGTGACATCGATCCTATTCCCATTTCTAGACCTACTGGGACCTAATCTTGACAATCCAAAATAAAACCATGGTAAGCACTCATATTTCATAGTAATAAGAATAGAGGCACTGTACAGTTTCTATTAATATTTCATCGCGTGATAAAGAACAATGATAGGGTTTTAAACAACCATGCAAACAGTAAATCTTCCAACAGAAGGGCAAAAAAATAACCAAATAACTAAACTTAGGGATGTAGGAAAGAAACATGGAAGGACAATGGATAAAATTTTCAACAAAAAAAGGAATACATCACTGACCTCAGATTTACCAAATGTAAAGGAATATGGTTCATCCCGAGTATGAGACAGAATCACTCTTCCATCAACTGACTTTGCCGAAATCCTAAAAACATTTGGGAAATCATATTTTACCAAATATAAATGCCAGAAAGCACGTAAAGCATAGATGCTCAAAGCGACAAAGCATAAACATGGTCTGACACAAATGATAAGGTCCAACAAAATCAAGTATGCGTCTTTACCTGGCTTTCACTTCATAAGGCTCCCTAGGTGATTCCCAACTCTTCCCTTCTTCCAGAACCTGCCTCAAAAAGTGAAAATGAAAGTTAACTAAACAACTAAGTTATCCTTAAAATACACTATATTTCCAGCACTAAACACAGTGAAAAATAACTTCTGTGCCATCACTATACAACACTTCAAATTTCATATTCAAGAGTTTCTTTTAAGCATTTGACAAAGTTACTCCACAACCATTCCTTAACACCCACCACCCAAAAAAAAAGCGAAGAAAACAATAATGTCCATAAATATATACTAAGGCACACTTATAATAATGGAAGGGGAACACACGCACACACATCACGCTCACAGCCAAAAACATCCCAATAGGCAATAACTTCTTTGGTTAAAAATAACTTCGTGAAGAATAAAAAACCAAACCAAACATACCAACGATGTCCCACTCAGAAGTAAGGCCTAGGGAGTGTGAAATGCACACAAACCTTACCTATATGGCTACACCTTAAACCAAGAAGGATCCAAGGATATACAAATCAAAAATAGAAAATTTAAGAGGGCAAGTGTTAATGAGAAATGTAATCAACCAGCAATCTGGTCATGTCGTCAATACCTTCTTCAAAACTCCCAGATCAGAACTGATAACCTGAAGAATGAATAAATGGGAAAAATAGAAAACATAAGGGTGAACCCAAACAGTAGATAACATGGAAATACACACACCCACACACCCACACATAGACAGACTATATGAGACCCCAAAAGAAGTCCCACTTAACATTTTAAATTTTTGATAAGAGTTAACACACAACTGGTATAGAACATCAATCCTAACATATTTAAATTAGTTTGATAGTTTAACTAAATTTTGTTGCTAAGCAATATGATAGGCATATATTCCTAGCTATGTAGAAGGAAAATAATCAACATCATAGTAAAACAGATGCTATTTCTGTTAGACCATTGATGCATTGTTTTACTTCCCAAACTTCATAAGTAAGAAGCAAAGGAAGTTTAATTTCCATTTTAATTTACTCCATTATTTACCCGAAGTTCAAACATTGTCAAAATGATTCTTTATTATTTAAAACTTTCATGTAACACGTACAAACAATGGATTAGCCTAAAAAGCATTTAATGGCCAATTTGTAGTTCCACGAAACATGGTTTACAATAATAATAAAAAACACTTCATAACTGTTAACCAGTGCAGAAAATCAAACATAAAAGAGCAGGAAAAGAATAATTACATAAAAAAAATGATCTTTCCTTGACTTTAGAGAATTCTATCAGTTCAATCTCAAAATGAAGTTCAACATCCTTTGGAAAGCTGTCAGAAACTGAAACTGGACAATCTTCCTCACTGTAGTGCATTTCTGGTTTCATTTTGAACTGAAACTCAGATAATAAAAAATGACATTAGTAAAACACTTTGGTGTGCATAATGAAATTTTGTTTTATGTAACAAATGTTACTTTCTATAATAGAAAAATTTTGGCAAAGAAAAAACAGTCTCTATGATTACCACTGCAACTTCACCCTTCAACATTGTGGGAATTCCTTCGAGCAACCCGAGAATAATCTTACTCTTCCCCAAAACATGTCTTGTTGGGATACCCTTGCCTTTGTAATCACAATAAAGAATAACATAGGCATTTCAATTCATTGACACAATAAGAGATATAATGTGGAAATGAGGTCATAGCAATCTAAGAGTAGTAAAGGCATTATGTATACTTTACATGTATAATTTTACTATAAGAACAGAAGGTTCTAAAATTTACTGGGGTTGCAAACTAACCTCCAAGCTCTGATCGTGTCGACTCGACTGTAACTCCATCCACTGTTCGAATTGTGCAATGATATATTACCTATGCAATTCATTCACAGCTAAACTAAGGTTTGTCAAAGAAATAGCAGTAACAAGCATCACCATCAGTGACTTATCATCTAAAATCACTAGATGCAATAGAGCAACTTAATGTAAACAAATGAATAGTCTTAAGTACATGATTACATGTTTTAAGCATGACAACAACAACAACAACAACAACCCAAATAATGAACCTGATCACCCTCAGTAGGTCCTGATTCGCCGCCACCGGGCCTAACCACAGCTTTCATCAAACTTCCTGGCACAATCTTTTTTCTTCTGTAAAAGTATATTATCCAGATAAGTAGCATTAAATGATAAATTTTCTCAGACAATATCAAAAGGCTGAAGATGAATAACCTTTTCTCATCCTCAGAAGGAGGTTTCTTCTTTTTGGATTGGTAATCTTGCACATATTCTTCATCTATTGCCATCTCCCGAAGCTACTGAAAAAAAATGACAAATTCAGAGCTCAGATTGAGTTCAAGCCTTCAAGGAATGTAAAGTTAAATAAATATATGCTGACACCAAGTAAAGGTTAATTTCATGACATAATTATCCGAGCTCATCCGGAAATTGAAGCAAGCAAATCAACTAGAAGATAAAATATGGGGCTTCAGTTAAGGGATTTTGCATGAAGCTTATTTTATAGATGTAATCATATAAATCCTGACTGCATGTGCTGAGTTATATAATTCAATGGGTGGTATGGAAAGTCTTGTTTAGATGAAGTGATAACAGCCATAACCTAAGCCAATTAGCCAAAGCTAACAGTCCAAATTACCAAGTCCAATCTGCAATCTGAGGGCTGCCTTCTCTGACAACCCAAAATCAAAGTGTTCTGAAGCACTTTCTGCTACCTCTGAATGGTTCGCTTCAAGATACCTACTTTTTACCTTCATTTTAAATTTGTTAGATCTTTAAGTTTACCTTGTAAAATCAACAATGAAAAGGTACATATTATGATCTCAAATAGCATGAAAGGGGGCATCATCAAACATCAGCAACTTCAATAATACTAAATCTTTGCATTTACCTCATGCCATCTTTACATTTATGCCAATTCAAGAGAGAGAAAAAATGAAGTTTTGAACCATAATTTTCCCTATATCTTCTTGATGCACCTAAGATCCCATCACAGATCCAAGTTCTGTTTTGGTAGGTGTGCATTCATTTCACTCTTTGATTTATTTACTCCCTCCGTCCCACAATGGATTACGCTCTTTACTATCCAAAAATCACAAGAACTTTTGCTTATTTGTGCGTTTTCATTTATTCCGGAGTATTTTATAAAATAAAATATTTTTTTCATTCTTGTTTCGTAAAACTTTTGATGTACTTTTAAAAAAAGAAAGTTTTATTTTTTATTTTTATTACATTTTTTAAATAAAATGAATAGAAAATGTTGGGATTTTACTTTGTTTTGCGTGAAGTATAATTCATTTAAGGACGGAGGGAGTATTTTTTTACCCAGTGGATACTCAATTCTTAAATACTACCTCCGCCCCATAAAAATCTTCAATCTTTTCTTTTTTGCTCGTCCCAAAAAAAACTTCATTTTCCTTTTTAGGTAAAAGAATATGTGTGTCATAAAAAATTTCTTGGTTCTTAACAAATTTCAACCACAATTTTTTCACTTTCAACACTTTTCTTAACCTCTTTCAAAGTCAAACACAGAAGATTTTTATGAGACGGATGAGTAAATCTTTCGTTGGAAACGATCACTCGATCAGCAAGGAATCAGTACTTAAAGCTAGTATTTGCATTTTAATGGTTTACATTTCATTGCATTGAGGATTAGGTAATTCTTGGAGTTGATTTTCATACTGCTTAGGCCACTAATGGCTTCCCTAACTTATTATCTCATGTTTGTTGGCCAAATCATTCCTAGGAATGGAGAAAATCTTAAAATCTGGAAAAGAAACAAACAGAACCTGACAAAGACACAGATTCAGGAGAAAACAAAAACGAAAAATAGGGCAGAAAGAATATCTGCGGAGTAGCGTCTCAGATTTGGGGTTTTGACCATTGGATATGAGAATTCATTAATCACAGAAACATCTAGTAATTCTGGTCCTTTTCTGGATAATTGAAACAAGACATAATTTTTGTATGGGAAGATTTTGGGGGAGCTTAGAACGAAATACCTGTGTGGATGCTGAACTGTCTGAGCAGATGGGAAATTTCAGAGGAAAATCGAATTGGGCTCAATTGCGAAGAAGTTGGAATTCATATTTTTATGATGTTGATGATGGATCGGTCGGATACAGCTGAGTTTTTTCACCCAATTCATCATCATCTAACCCAAGTTGTTTCATCCTCTTAATGATTCAGAGGTTTGAATGGTTCAGCATTTAATGGTTCAGACTGTTTGTTTCAGCCTCTTAACGGTTCAGACATTTGCCTCTGAATGGTTAAGTATTATACAAAGTCTGATTAGTTAAGACCTCTTATCTAAATTGATCAGACATTTGTCTCTGAATAGTTAAGCAATATACTAGCTCTTAATGGTTCAGACCTCTTACTAGTTCAGCACTTAATGGTTCAGACCTCTTACTAATTCAACACCTAATGATTCAGACCTCTTACTCGTTCAGCACTTACCTATTCAGAAGTTACCAAACAGCCTCTTAGACTGACGACGTCTTTTCTTGAAATCGTGAGATTTCAAGCTAAGTAGTACTAAAAGTGAATACATAAAATGTTGATTTAGTGGTGGAGTGACCGACTTTGACAAGAAAGTTCAAAGTGATTTCCACCTAGTGTCCAAGAGGGACAAGTTTTGTTACTCAGGCTTGGTCACACGGGCAGATGGGGGGTAGGTGGGATGGGGTAGTTGCTCATCGTGTTGGAGTTGATTAGGCCAAGGAGAAGTTGGCTTCAGAGGTACTCTGTGAGCCTGTGACAGGAAGATTTTGACAAGGATAAAAGGGAAGTTCTACATGTATGTCGTCAGACTAGTCATGTTATACTAAGTAGAGTGCTGGGCAGTTAAGAAAATTGACATTCGCTAGCTACATGTTGTAGAGATGCAGATGCTACGTTGGATGTGTGGGCACACAAGGTTAGATAGGATTCCAAACGAAGTTATTCGGGAACGAGTGGAGGTGGCTTCTGTTGAGAGTATGTTACGGGAAGCTGGACTGAGGTGGTTTGGGTATGCGATATGGCGTAGTGCTGAGGTTCCGGTGCGGAGATGCAAGAGACTTTCAGTGGTGGGTGGGAATGTGGGAAGAGGTACGTAACCTAAGAGCACTTGGAAAGAGGTGATTAGCGAAAAGCTTAAACTTTTGGCCCTTAGTGAGGATGGACATTGGATAGAAGTTTTTAGAGATAGAATTTGGATCAATGATATGGGTAATGTAACGATGATTTCGTGCTTAATAATTTATACTTCATTTGCTTAGTGCTTCTTGCCTTTTTTTCTATCTTTTACATGCTTTATATTTCGTTCTACGTGTTCTGTGCTCTATGGGTTACTCAAGTTGGGGTCTCTTGGAAGCAGGTTTTTTACTTCGGAGTAGGGGCACACTGTGCGTGCACACACCCTTTTCGGACCCTACCTCCGTGAGAGTCTACTAAATTGTTAACTTGTTATTGTTGTTGTTGTTGTAGAAATATTAGCTTTGCTTTTTTAACCAAATAAATGCATTATATTAAAAGTGGACAATAAATTCTAGAGAAGAATGAACCCATTCAACTCTGCTTTATTAAGTGCTTCAATTTGTTCTACCGTCTAATATAATGTCCCAATTTATTACAAAAAAATGTACTTTGTAGTTTGTAACTTAAAAGATGCTTCGCGGGGTACCATCATAAACATCATTAATCTTGTAATTCTCTAATATGTTAATTGAGTTATGCACTTCATAAATTCTTCATTTCGTGAAATAAGTTATTATAAAACTACCCTATATAATTAATATAACATATTTTCATTTGTTACACCCATGAAGGGTTGATGGATCGAATAATAGGTGATGTATGCAACGGAAGATGGATTGGGTGATAAATATAGAGTTAATGGATGGATGAGAATGAAGCTCCACATGACCAAAACATGATCCATTGTCATCCCTAGTTTCTATAATGAAAAATTGAAAAGAAAGACATCACTATGTAGCATTGTAGCAACGTTATAAAGAATAGTATATGAACGAGAAAGATTAACACAATTTCATATTAAAATTATTCTCAGGTATATCAAAATACTTCACTAGATAAGATGTAAACTATAATAATGAGTGCATGATTTCATTATTTGAAACATACCAAAGGACCCATATATTTATAGGCAAAATCATAACAGACGTGTGTGTTGCACGAAATTAATTAAATAACATGACTTATCACAATATATTCCAATGTTTTGCTAAAATATTCAAAATGTATAGCGTGTGTTTACATTCAAAATATATGTGTTTTTCCGCAAACGCACTAGTAGATAGTTAATGTGAACATTGAAATGTATTGGTTTTAAAATTTAAATAATATTCCTTGGACATCGCCATCACGAGCTCTCGTCCTCGGAACTCTGCTAAGGAACATGTAATATCATTAAACAAGCGTATCTTTCACATGCACCTCTGAACTCGTTAACAACATTTATTCAAATTCTCGCCGGTGATGTAATTAAATGAATTCAATTACACAAAAAAAATATGACACTAAAATCTCTAATAGTTTCTTCCAACATCATACTATGTTTTCTAACCCAAAAGAATACAACCAAAACGGTCTTAATGGTTTCTCCCTAATTTGTTTGCAAAGAAAATCTTGCTTAATAAGACTAACATTGTGTTGAGCTCAAGAAATTTGGGTGGAAAAACAAAGAAAAATAAACTTGTCTCTTTTTGCTTCACTAAAATAGGATGAATTTCATTTTCCATCCTCATTATTGTACATTTTGTTTTCTCGTTTTCTTTCCCTTTTACTTGTCTTTTCTTGTTTAACCAAACAAGAAAAAAATTAGCTTTCATTTTTTTCTTTTTACAATTTCTTGAACCAAACATACTGTAAAACTTAAAATTTCAATATCACGCATATTTTTATATCCTAAATAGGAGTGTTGGTAGTTGGCACTATCACTGTAATTTGGCATTATATTGAGAAATGGCATTTCATAGTATTTTTAAATATTGTGTGTTAACATTGAAGGCTCTTATTTTGGTATATGAAGCATGATGGATATGATGTTTTAGTCATACTTAGGTAATTCTTCCATAAACTTTCCTTTCGGATCTTGACCTTGTGTGATTTAGTAAGTTGAGAAAATATATTCTAACTGAGACTATATTATATTTGATGTTATTAAAAGTTATAAGAGTTGATGAGTTCGCAAATCTGAAACGAGGTTGCTAGATAGATTTAATTAATGATAGACGAGGATAATCGTCAATGAGGGTGCGTGGTTGCCGGAGACAACGATAAACGATAAAAGGAATTGTCTGGAAATATCAAATTTGATACCTCTTTTGACTTCACCAAATTCATCACAAAACAAATTTTGATATCTGTAGATATCAGAATTCAGAACTCATATCTTTTTTGTTCAGCAAAGTCAACCTAAAAAAACATTTTTTTTCAATTATTAACTCTCGGAAGCTAATAAGCGAGCCGTTACATTTTCGTTCTTTTTTTTAGTGAAAAATGCTAAGATAATGTCTGTACATTTTCCCCACTCAAACATGGCTAATATGGTCAATTGATTAAGCTAGAAAGCCCGGAGCGTAAGGCAGGCCAGTGGGAAGGATCCAAGAATCTCCGAGGATGAATTTCCCGGGAACGAACTCTCCCGCCACCTCCTTGCTGATCAATCCCTTCACTCCCGCCCACTTGGCTCTCCCGCTCACGTCGGCGCCCTTCCCCGTGTTCCCGTACTCCCCGAACCAGCACTCCTCGAGCCCGAACGAGCCCTGGAACGGGGCCCACCCCTCGGGGCTGATCGGGGCGTCGATCTTCGAGTTCATGATCACCGTCCTCGAGTACTGCCTCCACGGGCGCCCGAGGAACGACTCGATGACGTCCGCAGAGGAGAGGTACTCGGGGGACGCGGCGATCGTGGAGTCGACGATCACGATCCCGGTGGGCTCGTCCGGCTGGGCCCGCCCCTGGGCGGTGACCATGCAGGACTGGCCCGAGTCGTCGGTGACGAGCGGGCGGCGGATCACGAGGCTGCAGTTCTGGAAGACGGCGGCCGCGTTGCCGAAGACGAAGTCGATGGTCCCGGTGACGGTGCAGTTGCGGTAGAACTGGCGGTGGGCGTGGACGTAGAGCGTGTCTTGGTACCCGTCGATCTGGCAGTTGAAGAAGATGGCGCGGTCCGCCTGCACCCGGAGGGCGACCGCCTGGTGGCTGGAGGCGCCGGCGGTGTTCTCAATCCCGATGTCCTTTGCAATGAAACCATCACCCTTGATTACTGCATCACATATGTTGATACATCTTTAGTTCTTTTTATATTATTGTAAAGAAAGTAGCTATGAACACATCACTAATAATACTAAAAAAATAAAGTCAAATACTTTATTTTGAATTTGTGAATTTGGTTTAAATTAAATTGGTCACACATCTTTCAAAATAAATATTTGTACTAAATAGCACTAAACTTAAGTCATTTCACTAAATAGCACTTAAATTGTTTTATTCACTAAATAACACTTAATAATGTTTATAATGACTAGTGGTGGCGAATATTTACTTGAATATAATAATGAATAATGACTAAAAGTGCTACATTGGGAAAAAAACGCATGTAACGCTATTTAGGGAAAATCATTATGTTTTAGTGCTATTTAAATAAATTTCTCTTTTTAAAACTAACACAAACTATCCAAAGTTACTTTATATTTTTTAAATTTCCAATTCAATTTCTAAATATACTGATTTAAAAGAATTAAAATTTCTATAAAACAAGAAATAATGACATAATTAAATTATTATACCCGGTAACAAATGATTAATTAAGAGAAATATGTATATGAGAAAAAAACTATTAGTATAATAAAAATGGATGTGACGAGTATTAATAATTAATGAGATGGAGGGTGTAAAATTTGTTTAGGCACAAAACAATACTACCTCCGTCGCGTGAAACATTTCCCCTTTCTTTTTTTATCCGTCCCACAAAACACTTCTCATTTCTATTAAAAAGTCACTTTTACCCCTTACTTTTTCATACCCTAACTATCACATCATACCTTTTTACCAATAATCTACCCATCAAATCATACTTTTACCATCACATCAAAGGACATTTTTGGAAATTCAATACCAAAATACACTCCCTTAAATCCCTCCTAAAAAGCAAATGTCCCATGTTTCACGGGACGGAGGTAGTATATTTTGGAAGTCTTTATTAATAGGAACAAGTATTATTCTTTAAATTAAAGGAAGTTTCATACTTTAATCTTTTAAAAAAGGAAGTTTAATTTCATACTCCGTACAATGCACGTTCCATAATTAAGAGCATGTTCCATATTTAATGTTTTAGAAAGGAAATCTTGCGTATATTAAATATGCATATAAAAAATTTAATAAAATATAAAGATTTTTTAAACTATATATGTTTAAAATTGCGGGGTTACTTTTTTAAAAAGAATTTCCTCAAAAAGGAGAAGAAGAAGAAGAAGAAAGAAAGTAGTATTGATGAGAGGGAGAGAATAGTAAATACTCACTGACTGTTCCGGTTTCGCTGGTTTGGTAACCGCCGACAAAGCTTCTGTCACCGGTGATCTTAGTCTTTGTGGGCCCATCGCCCAAGAAAACCACATTGGTCATCTTCTTTGTGAGAACAACATGTTCGGCATAAACGCCGGCTTTAATGTAGATGACGAATGTCTCATTGCTCTTCAGAGGGATCTCCTTCACCGCCTCGTTGATCGTCTTGTATTTCCCCGATCCGTCTTTCGCCACCACCACGTCCGCCTCCTTTGCGTCCCGGAGAAGCAGGCCCCGCCTCTGGGCCCCGCTCGTCCACGCCGGCAGGTCGTCGTCCTTCCTGGCGACCAGCAGCTTCCGGCTCAACCCTGGAATGTCGAGCGCGACCAACGCGTCGTGGATCTCGTTGACCAGTTCCAGGGTGTTCCCGGTCAGCTGCTGGGCCGTCACCAAGAGTTGTTTCATTTTGTCAGCGCTTTCCCCTGTTGTTTCGTGGGAAATAAAATTATTTAAGTAATGATCAAAGCTTTTCAGCTTTGACTGTGAAAAGTCAAATTTGAAAAATAAAAACATCGGGACAGAAGTGGTACTGTATGTAGCAGCTGACCTTCTGTGCCGAGGAATCCGTCTAGGCATGTGTTCTCGAACGTCAGGGCGCCACTGAGCCAAATCTTGATGTCGTTCATGAAGAGGTCGAGGTTTTCAGCCGCGGAAGCGTAGTCGGTGAGCCTGTCGAGGGCGCGCCTGATGTCGTCGATGGAGTCCTCGAGAAGACCGTGGCAGACCTCGAAAGCTTTCGAGGTCCTGGGATCTTTCGCGGCGTCACGAAGGAGCTTCGACTTCGCCATGACATCAGAGATCTCTTGGATCGTCACGTTGAACGCGACTTCCACGAGATCTTTGGTGTCGGTGCTATTGGTGGCGGCCGAGAGCTTGGTCTCGCACGTTTCCCGGTGCCGAGTCGGCTTGCAGATCGCCTCCACGGCCTTGGCGGACGAAGCCATGGTGGTGCCAGAGGGCGAGCCGCCGTCATGGTCAGCCGGGGTTTCCTCCTTTCGGGTCACGAACACGACGACGACGACGGCAGCAACAACTAGAAGGAAAAAGACTAGGATTGATAATCCCAGAGTTTTCTTATTGTTATTGGTAGCCATATTTATTTATTTATTTATGATATATTAAAATTTGAGAACCCTTAAGGGTTATCTAAACTATAGAAAGAATTGATAACCCTTAGGTTCTATAATAGATTAATTGATTAATGTAGAGGCTAGGTTTTCTTTTATAGTTGGAATTATAAACGAATTTTGTTTGAATGTGAGGTTGAGGATGAAAAATGAAGTCCTAGCCATGCAAAAACCCGACATTTTAGTTGAGCATTAGGAATTTTTTTGTGGTTTCCTTTTTCTAAACTCGCCATAATTAGTAATTATTCGAGAGGAATTTACCTAAATAGCACTAAAACATAATGATTTTTCCTTAATAGCACTACATATGTTTTTCTTCCCAATGTAGCACTTTTAGTCATTATGCATTAGTCATTATTCAAGCAAAATTTCGCCATCACTGGACATTATGGACATTATAAGTGCTATTTAGAGAATAAAACAGTTTAAGTGCTATTTAGAGAAATGACTTAAGTTTTAGTGCTATTTAGTGCAAATATTTCATTATTCAAATGTGGAGTGTTAGTTTCTTAATCTTAAAATAAAATATATTCCGGTTAGGACTGAGGGAGTAATATTTATGTAAGCATAACGTTGAACCTTTACGTTGGTACATTAATTAATGCTCCGTAATAATTATAACAATATTACTTATTTATTTATTTATTTATTATTATTACTATTATTTATTATTATTATTATTACTATTACTATGATTAATATTATTTATTTATTTATTTATTTATTATTATTACTCCGTACTATTATTATTTATTAGGAAGAAAGACCAAAGTAAAACTAAAACATTGAAAATATACTAAAATATGACTTTCATGTTTTTATTTCTGGAATAAGACTTACATTACCAAATATGGTCATGTACATTACCAAAAAAGTATAGTAATGTGCACATTTACAGTGTCACATTACTACATTGCAAAGTCTTATTTCAGGGGGAAAAACATGAAAGTCCTATTTTGGTACTTTTCAGTATGTTTTAATCCTATTTAGGGTGATTTATATAATAAATACGAGCATGAAATAATAAATTATTAATAATAATAATGATAAAGAAAAATTATCTCAAACAATTCCAATCATACTTTTTTGCGCTCTTTCAAAAATAGTCTCACTTTTCACTGTCACCACAAATAATTCCACTTTTTCGTATGTGTGCGAGTTTTGGCTCACCGTTAAAAAACTAAAGGTCACTTATCGTAATTTTTGGAAAATGCCTATTTTTTGAACATAAATGAAAGATGAGATTATTTTAGGCAAATTTACTTTTTACTTTTTTTAATTTTGCCTAAAATAAGCTCACCTTTCTTTTATTTTCAAAAAACAAGCATTTTCTAAAAATTACGTTAACTGACATATACTTTTTTAACGGCGACCCAAAACTCGCACGCATGCGGAAATGTCGAATTATTTCTGGTGACAGTGAAAAATATGATTACTTTTAGAGAAAAATAATAGTACACTCTTGATGTTAGGGATTTATTACAAGAAAGAAATTGTAAAACAAAAAAAAATTCTAGTGAGTTATAAAATTAATTAGTATCATTTCTGAGAAAAAAAATATTCTGTCATTTCCACAACTTTTGAATTACTATTTTGGGGAAAAATTTGTACTGAATCATCAAAAATCACAAATTAGGTAGTTCCATTTTAGAAAAAAATAATATAATATAGGCAATATAAGATTATCAATAAATATTTCGGAGTGTTGTTCTTGAAAAAATTACAATACAACAGAAATATAATGAGTTATAGAAATAAAAGTTCTATTTCCGAGAAAATATTGCTGTGATATTTTCACAATTATTTTAATGTTGTTTTGTAAATTTAAAAAATATTTACAAGTTTTGTAGTGCCATTTTTTAAGAAATAATAATAATATAGTATCAAAAAACAATTCGAAATGTCGCTCAAGAAAACATTATTACAACTTACAAAAAATATAGTGAGTTATGATGTAAATAAATTAGCTCTATTTTATAGAATAATTTATTTTTAATTATTACCAGATTATAAATTATTGAAAAAAATTAGTTTCATTCTAAAAACACTTAAATTTGGTATTATTTTTCCAAAAAAAAATTAAAGAATACATTTAAATTTAAATATAGAAATTTAAAAAACAAAACAAGAGAATTTTCCTAAAATAATCCCACCTTTCATTTATTTCCAAAAAAATGGGCATTCTTCAAAAATTTCGTTAAGTGATCGTTAGTTTTTTAACGGCGACCCAACACTCGCACATATGCAGAAATGCGGGATTATTTTCGGTGACAGTGAAAACTGAAAAGTGAAATTATTTTTTAAGGAACACAAAAAAATGTGATTACTTGAGATAATTTTTTCTAATAATAATAATAATAATCTTGTTTTTATTGTCATTACTAGTATCCCACCCGTGCGTTGCACAACTCGTATTTAGAGTATGAAAATTTATTGGTGTCGGTATTGAAAAAAAGAGGCCATGTAATGAAATAGAAAGTTTTTTATTATTTTAAACCATTAATATCAAGTGCATTACAAATTTGGAACACTTATTTATTAACTACATGACTCGTACAACTTGTGAAAGCATCATTTGTGTAGACTATCTGATACGGACCTAACGTTACACGAGGAGCTATCGGATACGAGCTATGTTATTACTCCAACACGTGAAGACCATGCAGATTGTGACGAAGAACGTGAAGATGTCCAAGAGACCGGACGGCCGAAGAGGAACACACGACGACCCCAACGTTACGAAGATTAAGTTTAATAATTTTTATGTTTCCTTCATATTTGTAATTTAGTCTTTTTTTAGGTGGACGAATTATAAGTCCCTTCAAGGGTTTTCTTTTCGGTTCTTTCCCTTGACGCTTTTCTTAAACCGACAGGATTAGGATTAGGGTTTCTCTACCATTATATAAAGGGAATACCCCTTACTTTGTTAACCAAGCAATAATACAAAGGTTTAGTTTAGTAATACTCCTCTTTTCTCTCCTCTTCTTGCACGTAAGAAACTCCCAGGAACAACCCAACGTTAGTTGTTGCCTAGGGTTTCTCGTTCCTTGTCCGCCAAGGTTCCTTATCATCTGGTGCTCTCATTTCCGTTCTCATGTCTACGCCAACGCCCGAGACTCCGGCCCAAGGCGCCATCACCATGGACGATCTGTTACAAGCCATCAACAACTTAAGCGCCGAACTCCAGACGACGAAAGGCCAGGTAGCGGCCTTAGCCGCAACAACTCATGCCGAGCCTCGCTGGAACCGTCCTCCCGGCATGGGGTGGCTACCACCACCGAAACGTCCTCATAACGGTGGGCACAACACCGAGGCTATTCCGCGCATGCGCGTGGAGGCACCACGCTTCAACGGGGATGATCCGGCTGGTTGGATTTTCTGGATTCAAAATTATATCGATTATTTTCTCACGCCGGATGGTGAACGATTGCAACTGGTTGCTATGCTCCTTGATTACCCGGCCTCGGATTGGTTTCGTTACTACCAAACCAATAATTGTGGCACGAGTTGGGAAGCGTTTCTGATTGCCGTGCGGCAACGCTTTGACCCAGATTATTATGAAAATTACATTGGATCACTCTCTAAATTGCACTAGACCACTTCGGTCCTTGCCTACCAATCCGCTTTTGAGACTATCCTCAACAAGATTTCCGGAGTGCCGGAACCAACGCTAATTGCCATGTACGTTTCGGGATTACGTCAACCAGTACAACGAGAAGTTAATTTGCGTAGTCCCCGAACTCTTCAAGAGGCTTTTGGATTGGCCAGAGAGTTATCCGCGACTCACCAGGATTCTTCTTCCTTCCGGCGACCGTGGTCTACTCGTCCGCCGGGCCTTATTTCCTCGGGTGTCACGCCAGTTAGCCCACCCACGGCCACCACAAGGACAAGGGTTACCACCCCTACCACAGCACAGCCGTTGCCTATCATCAAGGTCACGCAAGCACAGAAAAATGGACAGAGCAAAAAAGGGTTGTGTTGGTACTGTGAGGAAAAGTCACACTCCGGGGCAATGCGGCGTCACCGCGCCCTATCTCGTTTGGGCAGCTGTGCTCCTTGGCCGCCCATATACCCTTGCAGCTTTTTGAATTGATGCCCATGGATAGCTCTCCCCATTCTTCAACGGCAGACACAATTGTGTTTCCCCCTAACATTCCATCCCTAGACATTCCCAAATCGCGACGTTGAGGACAAGGCCGTTCTCAACCCCGGGGGAGTTGATACGGACCTAACGTTACACGAGGAGCTATCGGATACGAGCCATGATGCTACTACTCCAACATGTGAAGACCATGCAGATTGTGACGAAGAACGTGAAGATGTCCAAGAGACCGGACGGCCGAAGAGGAACACACGACGACCCCAACGTTACGAAGATTACGTTTAATAATTTTTATGTTTCCTTCATATTTGTGTGTGTGTGTGTGTGTATACATACATACATACATACATACATACATACATACATACATACATACATACATACATACATACATACATACATACATACATACATACATACATACATACATACATACATATATATATATATATATATATATATATATATATATATATATATATATATATGGGCCGGTTCAGGTAAGAATGCACCTTGGTGAAAGAAATAAGAATAAAATTTGGCCTTTGGATATGATGCATCATGCGGCTCAAATTGCATCCTGCACTCATGTTTTGAGATAGTGCATTTTCAAAGGATTTTAGTGCATTTCGAAATGATGCATTTTCAAATCATTTTGGTGCACTTAATTTTGATGCAATCCTGATCCTTAGATCTCACAATGCAATCTAAAGCACCAGATTCATTCTTATTTCTTTCATAAGATTGGATTCTCACTAGAACACACAGACACACACACACACACATATATAAGACACAAACAAAAATAGTTCCACATATAACGAATTGAATATTTTCATACATAACGCACACAAAATATATAACAAAAATACCCATAGATAACAAACGCAACATTTTTATATGTAACAAAATATTTCCATATATGATGCGGAGTCAATAGGCGGGAAAATTCGGTTAATATTTGCTCTGATTTTAAATAAAGTTGATTATTATTATTATCAGAACGATTCTTTTGATTTTGAAAATCAAGGTAATATTATGACCCGGGACCTCTACGATGTTCTATTAGTAAAATTGATGATTCCTATCTTTCTAAACCTCGCTGCCCACGCACCCCACCCCAACCCCTTAGGCCCTTGACTTAGCCCTACCAAATCGGTAATCTACGGGCTGGGCTGAGCTTGGGGACTAGGCTGGGGGGTAGAGGGGACATAGGAGTAACAATTATCATTTTCACAAACGGGCCATCATACGTGTCCCAAAATGTCAAGAACTCAAGATCATTTAAGGTCACCTAAGGTGTCAAAAGATCGTTGTCGTATTGTTGTTGTAAAAGAATGTCGGCTAAGTGAAAAAGAAACCATCCTAAACTTCTCCACACCCACTCTTCGAGCTCCACTCCTTAGCTAAGCTAAGAGATTGATATTACAAAGTATAAGACTCGATAGATACTACACTGATTGATCTAGAAGCTAGGAGATTCATTATACTGAGTATATATAGACAAGGAGCTCCACTCCTTGTCGATTTTTACTTTTTTCATGTCACTATTTTTGTAATTCACACATTCTTTTTTGTTTCTTCTATTTTTCTTATAAATAATACACTTTTTTATCGACTTACATAGCACTAATCTATGTTCTAAAAATTATAGATAAAATAGATATTTTTTATTAATCTAAATTTGCTTGGAGGAAACATCAATATTTTAAATTTTATAAAATAATTTTACTACCACCTATACAATATGAAAAAGAAAAAAATAATCCAGCAGTATGTAGGGATCCCTAAAAAAGTATAAATTTAATATTTATTATGATTTTATTTTTATTTTTTTATTCTAAAAGTGTTACTCTTTTCAACATTTTTATTTTTTCCCCAAAATATATTTCAACATTTTTCTTTTTTTCCCAAAATTTTCCCATTCTTTTCACTTTTTACTAATTCTTTCAAGTTTCTTCCTCTGTTAAAATTTTGAATTTCCTTCAAGTTTTTTATATTTCTGTTGAGTTTTTTTCCAGTTCTTTACAATTTTCAAGTTTCTTCATTTTTTTCATTCCTTTCTAGTTTTTTTATTCACTTTCAACATTCGACTCTTTTTTTTTCAACTCTAAATTATGAAATATATGTAGTAATACGAGTGTAACAAATTAGATGAATATAAATTCCCTTAAATAGGACTAAAACATATAGAAAAGTACCAAAATATGACTTTCCTGTTTATTTTTTTCGAAATAGGACTTCATACTGTGGTAATGTGGCACTGTATATGTGCACATTACTACGGAGTATATTTTTTGGTAATGTAAATGACCATGTTTGATAATGTTAATACATTTTAACTCCTATTTCGTGAATAAATAACATGGAAGTCATATTTTCAATGTTTAACACTTAGTTTTGTCTTTTTTGTTCAAAATTGGTAAACTTTGACCTTAAATTAAATAAAAATGATACTCCGTATTAGATATTGATATAAAAATAATTTTATTAAATTCATTATATAAAATATTTTAAAAATAATTTTTTATCGAATTAATATGGAATATTTATTTTATTTAATTATAGATCGAAGGCTGAAAATAATTGACGGAAAAAAAGTCAAATAAATAGTGCAGAACGAAATAGTTTGTGCTAACATTAAACCTGGCTGAACCAAAGAGTCATATGATCAAAATTGACGTATTATTATTATTAATATATCATTTCAATAATAACATTTGAACTCTGGGACTGGACCTTTACTCTCTTTTTTTTGGCCTAGTGTAAATAAAATTTGCACTTTTTTTTTCATACACAAAATGTAAAAATATGTATATGCAGCTAGTTAAGCTAACTAATTTAGGCGCGCTTCATAAAGCCCCCCACATATGGCACCCCCGCAGCAGGCACCCAAGAGTCTCCAAGAAGGAATTTCCCCGGCAAGAAACCCTCCGCCTCCGCCGCCGTCATAGCTCCCTTTACTCCCCCGAACTTCGCTCTCCGGCTAACGTCGGCGCCCTTTCCGGTGTTGCCGTACTCCCCGTACCAGCAGTCCTCGAGCCCGAACGTCCCCTGGAAGGGCGACCACCCTTCTGGGGCGATCGGTGCGTCGATTCTCGAGTTCATGATCGCCGTCCTCGAGTACTGCCTCCACGGGCGCCCGAGGAACGATGTGATCGGGCTCGGGGAGGCGAGGTACTCGGGGGAAGCGGCGATCACGGAGTCGACGATCACGATCCCGGTGGGCTCGTCCGGCTGGGCCCGCCCCTGGGCGGTGACCATGCAGGACTGGCCCGCCCCGTCGGTCACGAGCGGCTTCCGGATCACGAGGTTGCAGTTCTGGAAGACCGCCGCGGCGTTGCCGAAGACGAAGTCGATGGTCCCAGTGACGGTGCAGTCGCGGTAGAACTGGCGGTGGGCGTGGACGTAGAGCGTGTCTTGGTACCCGTCGATTTGGCAGTTGAAGAAGACGGCGCGGTCGGCCTGCACCCGGAGCGCCACCGCCTGATGGCTGTTGGCTCCGGCGGTGTTCTCAAACCCTATGTTTTTCGCAATAAACCCATCTCCCATTATTGCTGCACTCAACAAGCAATTCAAATGGATTAATAATTACATATAAATCATTTTTCTGGGTTAGGAAAACCATAAATGAAGAGAGACTTACTAACTGTCCCGGATTCACTAGTTTGGTAACCACCAACAAAGCTCCGATCGCCGGTGATCTTGGTTTTTGTCGGACCGTCTCCGACGAAAACGACATTGGTGAACTCCTTGGGAAGAACAACGTATTCGGCATAGACCCCGGCCTTGATGTAGATGACGAAAGGCTTTGCGCTGTGGGGAGGGATGGTCTTGATGGCGTCATTGATGGTTTTGAATTTTCCAGAACCATCCTGTGCCACCACGACGTCGGGCACTGGAGCGCCGGCGAGTAGGCGGCGCTGGGTGGAGCTTGCCCATGACGGCAACCCGTCCGTGGTGGCAAGGATTTTCCGGTTGAACCCGGGGATGTCTAGTGCCTTTATGGTTTCATGGACCTGGTCAACCAATTCTAGGGTGTTGCCGGTGAGCTGTTGGGCGGTTGCCAAGAGTTTTTTCATCTTATCAGCGCTCTCACCTGATAATTAATTACACATGCAAACAATTATTGTCTTTGAAACAGTAATATATAGTGTCAATCTTAATGTCATTCGTGATATGACTATTGTATGGTCTGAAGATATATATATTACCTTCAGTACCGAGGAATCCGTCTAGGCAAGTGTTCTCAAACGTCAAGGCACCACTGAGCCAAATCTTAATGTCGTTCACAAAGAGGTCAAGTTTTCGACCGCAGAGGCGTAGTCGGTGAGCCTGTCGAGGGCCCGCCTGATGTCGTCGATGGAATCCTCGAGGAGTCCCTGACACACTCGGAAGGCATTCGAGGTCCTCTTATCCTTTGCGGCGTCTTGGAGGAGCTTCAACTTCGCCATGACGTTAGCGATCTCCTTGATCGTGATGTTGAACGCCACGTGGACGAGTTCCTTGGTGTCGGTGCTGTTGGTGGCGGCGGAGAG